ATTCAATTTCCATTGGGGAAAGTGGCAAACTAGACATTTTCAAAACCCTTTTTGGGTAAATTCTATTCTTTTAAACTTTGGGGATAATCACTGATAGAATTTACCTACAACAATTCTTAAATTCACAGATTTCCCATTTGCTCCAGTGGTAAGAGAGTGTAAATTGATGTACTTGGTGCAGATTTTCTTAGATAAAGCGCAGATATTCAACTAGATTGGACAACAAGCCTATGCCTTGGACTTCTCCAAATTATGGCACATAATCATGTGCGTTTTTTGTCAAGTTCACTACTGAACTGACTCAAATTTGCGTATAATGAGGAAAGATCTGATTTATAGGCTGATCCTGCCGCTGTTGAAGTTAATGGGAGTTTAACTTCAGTGGGAGAAGGCTGAAATTGGAAATGGTGGTTTTTTAGGTCCAAATCCTTCTCAATTTTCTCTCCCATCACCCAGATTGACCCCTGACACAAGGGAACTCATGTAGTTCCACTATGTGGAGGGATGTGTGTATAGCAGGAAATTGCATGGGGTCTGCACTCGTGCTCAGTGTAGCTACTGCCTAGTGCCTCTCAGTGCAATTGTGCAGTTAGTCTGTGGTGGCAGTTTGGCTTGGCATTGGAGAATCTGCTGCTTCATGAATCCTCCAGAGATGGTGGGTGATGTGGTGTCAGGACCCTGGAAATCTCCTCCATTCCTTAGGCTGTAGTAGTGACTACAGAGCAACTTTGTTCTGGTTCCATGGCCACGGTGGGAGGATTTCTTCTGTAGTCATAGAATGATAGAAATGCAGGGCTGGAAAGGACCACAGGAGGTCGTCTAGTCCATCCTGCCATGCTGAGGCAAGATGAAGTGCACATCCACCATCCCTGAAAGGTGGTTTGTCTAGCTTGTTCCTAAAACTTCCAATGGTGGGAATTCCACAGCCTCCCTAGGTAAACTGTTCCAGAGCTTAATAGTCTTATAGATAAACATTTTTCCCTAGTATCTAACCTGAATCTCCCTTCCTGCAAACTAAGCTGATTACTTCTTAACCTATCTTTAGTGGACAGGGAGAATAATTGATTACCATTCCCTATGTAACCGACCTCAACATATTTGAAGACTGCTATCATGTCTCCCTTCAGTCTTCTCTTCTATAGACTAAAAGTGTCTAATTCTTTCAACCTTTCTTCATATGTCATGTTTTCCAAACTTTTTATCATTTTTGTTGCTCTCCTTTGAACTCTTTAATTTGTTTATATCTTTCTTACACTGTGGTGCCTGAAACTGGACACAATACTCCAGCTGAAGCCTCACAAGTGATGAATAGAATGGAACAATTATCTTCCATGTCTTGTAGGCCAGGGTTTCTCAACTTTTTTATTTCTGAGCTCCTCTCCCGCAAAACGTGTTATAAAAACTCCATGGGCCACTTGTGCCACAATAACTGGTTTTCTGTATATAAAAGACAGGGCTGACACTAAGGGGCACCAAGCATGGTAATTGCCTGGCGCCCCATGACACAGAGGCCCCCATGAAATTACATTGCTCAGGCTTCGGCTTCAGCCCTGGGTAACGTGACTTAGGGCCCTGGGCTTCAGTCCCATGTGGTGGGGCTTTGGCTATCTGCTCTGGACCCCAGGAAATCTAATGCCGGCCCTGCTTGATGGACCCCCTGAAACTTGCTCGTAGCCCCCCAGATGCCCCGGATGCCTGGTTGAGAACCACTGTTGTAGACAACACTTCTGCTAACATATCTCAGAATGACATTTGCCTTTTTTGCAGCAGTATCACGTTGTTGGCTCATATTCAGTTTGTGATTTGCTATAACCCCCAGTTCCTTTTTGGTAGTACTACTGCCTAGCTAGTTATTTCCAATTTTGTAGCTGTGCACTTGATTTTTTCCTTCCTAAATATAGTGCTTTGCATTTGTTTTTAGTGAATTTCAGTGATTCCCAGCAGCCAGGTGAGTGACTTGGGCTTAGCACTGGGGGGAAGACTTGGATCACTTGAGTGGAACTTTTTCTAAACAACAACTGCCATCAAAACAAATGTGGAAAAAAAAACAGCAAAGCAGAACTGTTTGCTTAGAACATTATTATTATATATGTTAATGTTAACAGGTTCCTATGCAGGAAGTGAAAAGAGGATCAATTAAATGCCCTTTTGTTTCTAAGAAACACCATTAAAAGTTGGTGATTATAAAGTTTGTTTATAGACAATCACAAGTATGTTTTAAACCAGTACAGCCAGCATTCTACACCACATTTAACATTTTCATAAGGCTAGGCAGTTTGCAGGTTATGGGTATTTATTAGAAGAATATAAAAATACTAATAAAACTGTCTACTTGAGAAATTGATCTTTTGTGTAAATAAATTTAAAATTTAGATATTATTGAATTCTATGAGTTTGTTCTTGTTAACTCAGTGACACATTAGGGGTTCAATAAAAATTATGTGTATTTTTGATCTTCATATGGGTATACATCTCATGTGAGCAAGATCAAAGGTCAAATTCAAGGCCTCATTGGAAATGTAAAAGCTTCTTAGTATGTTAATTGTGATTTACATTTTTGAAGTGCTATACAAACGATCATTAACCAATTAATCCTAATAACTGGAAGGCTAGGTTAGTAAACATCATTTATTAGGGGAAATTGCCATTCAAATGACCTACTGTATTTATATTATTTATTGTATCTATGGCATCAACATTATGCTAGACACTTTTATGTGTGGATATGAAGAGAAGATCCCTGTCCTGAAGAGCCTATGATCTAAATAGCATATAAATAAAGCATGAGGAAATGTATGTGCTAGGTCCATGTTTAAAGTGAATTTTATTTATTGTGTGTGCTGTATACATGGTATGAACTTCACTTCCTAATAAATTAAGAGTTGTACAAGTCTGACCATTGGCACTACCATAATCCCCAAATTAGGTACTAAATTATGCCTCCTCTTGCATAAGTGCACTGGAATAGGAAGAGGACATAGGGAGCCCTGCCTTTCCCATCCCCCTGTGCACTCATGCAGAATGAGAGGGAGTTGGTGTATATCTCTTGGAATTATATCTATTGTGTGACCATAATTAGATGCATGTTTTGTTTTATTGAGATGCTACTGCGATTTATGTGAGGGTCAGTGTTCATGTTGTAAAAGAGGTTGTGTGGGTTTAAGTCTGATGGTCTGTGTACTCCTTTATGTACATGGACAATTGGAGATTAATAGATTCTCCAGAAAATAGAAGAGAAACGTTGTGGAGATTCTGTTAGCTGTCATGTTGCCGCTCAAAAGCAGATGTGACATGCCTTTCTTTTCATTGTCATGCATGACACCAAATGATGCAGTTGCTGCTGACTTGTTTATAAATATAACATGTTGGTGGCAATAACTGTGGCTTGATGAGAGATCCAAGATAGGAGGTAATGGGCTTCATCCTTTCTGAAATATGATATTTTTGGAAAACCAGTGTATTTGATAATTCCTCAAGAAACAACTTTTTGGGTTACCTTTCGTAACCCTCTTTAGTCTGCACAAACACGAGTGTGCTTCAGATGTTAATCTCAGTTTGGGTCAGATTCACGGCTGTCTGCAGAATAACTAAAGAACCTTGTCTGTGCTTGGCAGTCAGAACAAAGCACCTTGAAACCAACTTCCTCCTCCTACCCCCCCCCCCCCAACAAAACAAAACAAGAGCTTCTATCTGAATGTAGCTATTGACTAAATATTGACTTCATTTGACTACCGTTTGGGAGGGGTTAGCAGGCAATGCCTGACCTGTTAATCCAGACATTGGTTTCAGAATGAGTACGAAATAGGGGGAGATCTACAAAGCTTATGGTGTGAAAGACTGGCCTTAGTTTGACATTTGTGCTCGAGGTTCTTGCAAAGGAGTTTGCCTTTTTGTCAAAATTGTGTGAAAATCAAAACATAGCAGCATGCCCAGTTTTGCTTGTGTGCATATGAAAAGATGGGCTGTATGAGACTAGTATAAATAAACCATTTGCTAAAGAAGTTTTTTGTTCATGGTGGAAACTCTGTAAGTAAATTTTGCAGTATGTAAAAGGGGAAACATTCCAATTATATCTGACTCATAGCAGGCTATCCATATGCGTGAGCAGGCTATGCACAACATAATCATATTATTACTGGAAAGGGTTCAACTTTAACAGCATAGCCACATCTGAGTTGAGACAGCCTTCTTTTCGGACAGGCTTTTTTTTCTCTGTTTCAGTGAGTTGAGGAAGAGGATTTGTAAGTATATATGTCTGCCTGGGCTTTCTAAAGGCTTGGTTGCTTCCAGTTTGATTTTTTTCTAATTTTTTAAAAAATGTTAAATTTAGGGAACGGTCTCTGTGGATGCATTGGAAAAGGAAATCAAAATATAATACTAGAAATCAGTGTTATCTTGACTATATTAAAATAGTAATAATTGAAATTGATCATCTAAAATGCATTTGTTAAATTACTCTAAGCAGTTGCTTGTCACTTTACGTGCTTTTTCAGGTAACCAATGACAGACTGAAGCCTGTGGGGTTCTTAAATGAAGGAGTTAAAAAAAAAACACACCCAAAAACCAGACACTTGATTTATGGTGTTAAATACAAGAGTAGGTGCAACTACATCCCTGGATCAAATTTACAATTCTTTCTCTGCCTCTGATATACTCAACAAGTTTTAATACTTCACTTATTGTCAATATTAACATCTTGGTGGCTGGACTCAGAAATGTTCACTGACCTGTTTTGTTTAGTTTACTGTGTATAGTATTGAAAAAAACACACAGCATATTAACTAGAAACGACCCCTCCTCCAGAAATACACATGCATTTCTTTTTCCCATGAGGTAAGAAACTGGAGAAGAACTGCACATTTGATAAAGTTAGTCTCTTAATGTCCTCATTCTGGAGGATATTCAGACACCATGGTGATTGGCGTGCTATAAGAACCTGAATAGTATCAGTGCCCCATGATTCAGTGTGTGATAATTACTCTGGTTTATTCTGTTTGTAGATGCTGTAACAATGAAGCTGAGCTGCACTGAAGTACCTCTTTATGTAAGTTCTACAACATTAGGCTTTTGCCCTAAGAGGCTCTTTCTTTTTGATAACAGCTTATTCAAGGCAGAATGAATGAAACAGAAAGCTGTTCTCTGGTTGACTGAGACTTTAGGCCGCTGAATGTTGCTTTCTAATTCAGGCGTTTCTGGGGATAATGCTCTTTGAATGTTATGGCTCCCATTGCTGAAGTCAGTTTAAAATTCCCTTCATGGTCATTATTTTAGATTTTCTTAATTTCAGTACTTAGAAACATAGATAATACTTCGGGAGCTACTCCATAGTTTAAAGTTGCAACTGTGTTTCTGCTATAAACCCAAATTTTTCATTGTCCCCCCCCACCTTTTCCTTCCTCATCATATACAAAAGTCCTCTCAGTCTCAAAATTGGTAGTTTATATTTGGGGCTAAGGAACAGTTTTTCAACAAAATGTGGAGCGATTGGACAAGAAGTTTTTGCATGATGACACCCTAAAAATAGATGCACTCACCAGAGTTCAAAAAGCCATCTGACTTTGAAGCAAAATAAGACATACAGTGAATAAAATTTAGTTTACTGGGCTCCTTACCTGTGATCTGGTGTCCAGGATGAAAAGTTAGAGGATTAAACTTTTAATTTCAAAAGTTATTAATGTTCAGATTTGTAATGGTGCTTTCTGCTGCAGCAAGCTTAATATTTGGTCATCAAAGGACTGCTGGAGTTCTGCTCTTTCATTAACAACAACAACATCTCTTTTCCTTGTAAATGTAGACCTCCAAATGTTGTAACCTGTTGAGAGCCTTATTGATGGAAGAAGGAGAAAATGGTTGCAAAAACGCTTGCAGTGGGGATGATGAGCCTCCTAAAGCTCTCTGGGGTTCTCCTTTCCTGCAGACCTCAGAAAGTTCACAAGAAAGGGGGTATCCTTCTGATCCTCTTCTTTTCCAAGCCCCCTGCTCAGTCTAAGGGGCTGTAGAGAGCAGGGTTTGGATTGGTGGTTAGGGGCCAGGCATTCCCTCTTTCCTGTGGAGCTACTGAGCTTTTCAGGAGAGGAGAACCCGTAGTGAGCCTTAGGGGGGCTTATCAGCCCCCCTGCAGGCCTTAAGAGGGTTGCTGGGTTAATCCCCCAAACTTTAGAATCAGTGAGTGCCCGTCACTATATTTGAGCTTTGGGAGGCTCATTGAAGGTCATCCTCAACCACACATAAACCTTAGTGGATTTCTTAGTCCCAGATAAGCCTATTTTGGCTATTTGGGCAGGGATGGTGTCAAGGTTCCTTCCCCACTCTGAACTCTAGGGTACAGATGTGGGGACCTGCATGAAAACCTCCTAAGCTTATTCTTACCGGCTTAGGTTAAACGCTGCCACCACCAAAGTGTTACACAAAGAACAGGGGAAGTGCCCACTTGGAAACGTCTTTCCCGCCCCAAAAAATCCCCCCAAGCACTACACCCCCTTTCCTGGGAGAGGCTTGATAAATATCCTCACCAATTTGCATAGGTGAACACAGACCCAAACCCTTGGATCTTAAGAACAATGAAAAGGAATCAGGTTCTTAAAAGAAGAATTTTAATTGAAGAAAAAGTAAACAAATCACCTCTGTAAAATCTGAATGGTGAATACCTTACAGGGTAATCAGATTCAAAACATAGAGAATGCCTCTAGGCAAAGCCTTAAGTTACAAAAAGATACAAAAACAGGAATATACATTCCATTCAGCACAACTTATTTTATCAGCCATTTAAACAAAACAGAATCTAACGCATATCTAGCTAGATTGCTTACTAACTTTTTACAGGAGTTCTGACCTGCATTCCTGCTCTGGTCCCGGCAAAAGCATCACACAGACAGAGAGAACCCTTTGTTTCTCCCCCTTCCAGCTTTGAAAGTATCTTGTCTCCTCATTGGTCATTTTGGTCAGGTGCCAGCGAGGTTATCTTAGCTTCTTAACCCTTTACAGGTGAAAGAGTTTTTCCTCTGTCCAGGAGGGATTTAAAGGTGTTTACCCTTCCCTTTATATTTATGACAGATGGTGTCCCTAATCTCTTTGCCAGAAGCTGGGAATGGGTGATGGGATGGATCGCTTGATGATTACTTGTTCTGTTCATTCCCTCTGGGGCACCTGGCTTTGGTCACTGTCAGAAGCCAGGATACTGGGCTAGATGGACCTTTGGTCTGACCCAGTATGGCTGTTCTTATGTTCTTATTGGAGGCCCCATGAGCATAATTTGGTTTGCAGTTGGACAGCTGCCAACTATTCCTCTGAGGCTTGCTGGGGTGGTGGTTGTGGTTTGGGAGGGCACTAAAGATTCCCGCCAGGATGAGTGATTGTGAGTTTTGCACTTCCTAGGATTAGTGGAGGGAGCTCCTGGAGCAGCTAGTGTCCTGATGAGTTTTGTAAGTCTCTCAGAAGCTGGAGTTCAAGACATCCCTGAATAGCCTATTAAGACTGGCATAGAGGGGTTGGGAGATGAAAATCTTCTAGGGCTCATGGAGGACCCTACATGCCTCCTGGGGCCAATGGGAGAGAGAGATGGTTCCTATAAACTGTAGGTCTTGGGAACTCCCTGACAGACCTCATGAGGCTCAACAGGAGGGTGATGTAGTTACTCAGGTGGAGTCTATTTCTGTGCATCCCCCGTCAGATTCACAGGCGACAGGCTTCTTTCCTAAGGATCTTGCCAGTCATATTTTTCCCTGCCTGGATAATTTTCAATTTAGATCTGAAAACAACCAAAAAGTCTGTTCTATTCTCTATGAAGGAGCCCTTGAATAAGGGCATTTTCTTTTAGCCAGGTCCAATTAGTGTACATGTGCTCTAATAGAAGGAACTTCCAAGACGCAACTCCTGCCTTATTTGCATGGCTTTCGTGGAAATCACAATCTAGTCAGTATTTAAATTAGATGTGAAATTAGTTCTTTTGTCCATTTTCATGAAGCAGTTTTCTAGCTTTTTGAGTTTGTCTGAAATACTCTGATTTTTGGTCTCTTAAGAAGACTCTGAAGAGGTGCCTGAGGTGAGTTTTTGCGTTAATTAGAAAAATAATGGAATTAATTGAGTTTCTCTCTTTTGAAGGAGGTGGTGGGGGGAGGGAGAAAGGAGAGGGGGACACAGAATGAAAAATGATGATGCTTATATACTGAGCACATGTAACTTGAAAAATTCAGTGTTACATTGTAAGGTATTATGTCCAATAGGAGTAGAATTATTTTTAGCTCAATGTCTTCTCCACTCAGTCTGTTGGAGAATCTCACAATGAAAACTGGCAGAAAAGGAAAAACGCACTGGTTGTACTTCAAGACTGACTTATCTACTTCGTATTAGTAGAGCCCTGCAAATATGCAGATAGCTGTGCACCATTTTTGCGGCTGGTGGATCCGATGCAGATACAACCACGCAGGGCTCTATTTGTTAGTGGCACCTGGCCTGCGGCATCTGGCTTGGGCAACCCGGGGAGCGCAGCACACTCGGGGCTGGCAGCCAGTGGCTGGGACTGGGCAGCAGGTCGGAGTCGGGGCTGTCCAGCACCCACTCACCGCGTCACTTCCTGTCCAGCAGCTTGAGCCCCTTAGGGAGCACCAGTGTCCCCACCATGGCCTGGCCCGGCAGCACTGGCTGAGCACCTAGTCCTGGGCCTGGCCCTCTGGCTCCTGGGCAGCCAGGTGCGTCCCTGCCCATTGGGATTGGAGCAGGCGGGGCCCCGGTGCCCCACCCCTCTGCACCACTGTGAGGCAACACGCACTGCTGCTGCCATGTGCTGTCACTTGTGAGCCCCCAGGAGCAGCACGCGATGCAGTGCCCCTTTCCCCCAGCCCCTCGCTCCACGCTGCCCCTTCTCCTCGGGACCCTGCCCCTTACCCCCAGTCCCAACCCTCGCACTGCCTCTTTCCCCCAAGACCCCGCCCCCCCACTCGCTTCTTTCCTCTTTGCCTCTCCGCTGCCTTCCCCCCCGCTTCCCTCAACTCCTCATCCCCCCAGTCACTAGACCTTGTGAGACGGCTTGCAGCTTCAGTTGTGGATGTGGATACAGGTAAAAGACAGCTAGTGGATCGTGGGTCAGATTGCGGGTTGATCCTGGTGGATGCAGATCCACATTTTTGTATCTACGCTGGGCTCTACGTATTAGGGCTAAATGGGCCCATGGAGTGTTTGCTTTTCAAACTCTTTCCCATTATTTTTAGCATCTGTGTTCACTGGTATCCACTGGACTATACTGCCTATAATCTGAGAATATCTGAAGTAAATATAAGACCGCCTCAGTGATGTATTCTAATAATGAATAATAATAATTAGAACAGAATAATCATAGGGTACGTCTAGTATTATGTTATTCTGTTGTAACTCTAATAATCATGAAGTTCAGGTAGGAGGTGAATTTTTAACCACCTGTTTGCAAGCTATCATTAAAAGCCTTCAGGAGACTTATTGAGATTGGTATGTGTAATGGAGTGTTATTTAGAATAGTCACTCAATACCTGAAATTCTTTGCAAGTCTAAGATCTTACCAGCATAGTATAGTCTAATCTGGTCAAATGAATAATGACTTCTGTTTATTTTTTGTTATTTAAAAGGAAATATATTCAGAAAAGTCAGTCAATGTTAGGTTATCTGATTTTATGTGAAGTATAATGAAATACATATGGTCCATGTTATTCCTCAGTTTGGAGAATGCATTATCTTGATACATTTTCCATATACATAATTTCAGTGACAGCAACAGGATCATAATCTAATTACCACACCTTTAAACGTCATGGTTTCAAAAATAAATTATAATGACAGAGAAAATTAGAGGTTTCAGGCACATGTTTTTCAGTTAATTGAAAGATCCGTTTCCAGCTTCTCAAGAGCAAAGTATTATAGTCCACATTACAGAAGATTCCCTTGTAAACCACACAAATGTTCAGGGTTACTCAAACCAGTAACACCTGATCAATAAAATAACATCATGTGATTCTGGGTAGTCCATCTGTCCAATAATAAAGATATATCATTTGAGTCAATGTAGTTTTACAATGT